GGGGGGGGGCGCCGCCAGCTCGCCCCCGGCAGGCCCACCCGGCGGCCCCCTGACGCCGTGCCCTGTGTTGCAGGTATTACTACAAAAGAGAAATCCTGGAGCGCGTGGACGGCCGGAGGCTGGTGTATAAATTCGGGAAGAACGCGCGCGGGTGGAGAGAAAACGAAAACTGACCCTCGGGACGCAGACCCAAGCGCACCCCGTGTCCCGAGCCGACAGCTCCTGCGCGCAAATACTTCAAAGACGGCTTTTCTCTGATATTTATGCACCGCGGGAAGGAGACCAAAAAAGAATAAAAATTAAAAAAAAAAATAACGGACTTCTAACGGGAAGAAGGAACACTACAGTTGATAGAATTACTTTGTTGCTTTGAAGTGTATCCCGTGTGCGGAGCGAGCGCAGTTTCCTGGGCGCCGGGACGCTGTCCGTGGTGGTGATTTGTTTGCCTGTGTTGTGAAGTCCTTCACCCTGCAAGAGGACCCGGCTTTGTGGCCTTGGGCTTCTCTTGCCGAGAGAAAGGGGGGGAAAAATCAGAGGGCATTAAATATTTTTATATGCAAATGATTTAGCAGAAGGTGGCGTGTCCTTCGCGCAGTAGCAGCCCCGAGGCCTCCCCGGGAGAGGAGGGCGCGGCTGGTGGGCGAACTCCGGGGTCTCAGGCTGGCGGGGTGCAGCCGAGGAGGCTGGCAGTGGAGCCTGACCCGGGGCCGCTGAGGGGACAGTGAGGACTTCCACAGCCCAGGGGGTGCAGTCGCCGCGCACCCACAGGACTTGCAGGGTTGAACCCGGCAGGAGAGCGCGGGGGCCTCAGCCTGCTCAGGGGTGGCTGCCCTGAGGCCAAGGCCACTCCCCTCCCCTTTGGACGACTGGTGGGAAAACTTCACTCACCGCCTCTGCTCACTTCTGGTTACCTAAGGAAGGGTCGGTCTTGGTTATTTTTTTTATCCCGATTGTTTAAAAACGGAATGGGAAACGGAGGTGGCGGTGAGTTTGCTCTTGTGCTCCTACAGTCCGTGGTTTCTCAACTGGCGGTTTTGGCCGAATAATTCTTTGTTGTGCATTATTTGGCTGCCCTGTGTGTTGTAGGACCTTTAGCAATATCTGTGACCCCTGTCCGCTAGACGCCAGTGGCACTTCTCTCTCCGAAGTTGTGATAACCAAAAATGTCTTCAGACATTTCCCATTGCCCTTGGCGGAGAACCACTGATTCAGTCAGTCAGGATGACGCTGGAGACTTATTCTCAGTACAATAAGGTACGTAAGGTCTTTTAGTCTCCAGCAAGAGGCAGAGGCAAGGCTCAAAATCAGTCTATGTTTAATTTTTAAAATATTAAGGAAAATGGGTTTAAATATCTAGAGGGACTTCTTTTCAGAATGCCAGATGAGAGCCAAAGCCAGATAAGTTGAACAAGCTAATGTAGCAAGAACTAAAACCTGGAATCACAAGGCAGAGTAAAAATTACACTGTAGAAGGAAATGCTGAGAGAGGAGTGTGTGTGCGTGTGTGTGTGTGTGTGTGTGTGTGTGTCAGAGAGAGAGAGAGGATGGGGGGAGTTCCAGGGAAAATCTTCTTTGCAGATGTTAATTCTTTATAGTCTTTCCTCTTTTGGATCGCCTTTTCCCTGTCTCATTTGTACTCATCCGAAAGTGAGTAGTGTGTTGTCTAGGTTTGCCACCAGAGGAATGTTAAAAAAAAATAAAAAAAAAAATACATATACACACATATATATGTACATATATATATGTACATATATATATATACACATATATATGTACATATATATATAGAAAAGAAAGGAAAGATGTAAGAGAAAATTAGAGAACAGTGCAGGATCTGTGGGCAGTAAGGAACTGGAGACTTGTTCAACGATGGGAGTGCCTGGGGTACCTGGAGACTTATCACTGGGTCCTGTGATCTGGGAAGACTGTGAGCAGGCAGGCATTTTGCAAATGGATTGGAGCATCCAGATCCCTTTTGCAACTTTTCTTTTTGGCTCCCATGTCCTTGGCCTTCTCCTCTCTCCTGCCTCTCTTGAGCAATAATACGAGGCTAAGGACACGTACCAAGAAGAGGGAGCGCTCTTCATCAGCTAATGGGTCACCTGCCACTGTGTCTTAGCCAGCAAGGTGAGCAATTCTTAGTCAAAGGTTGTAAAGTGTTTGTAATGTATTCAGAAGGCTGGAAGTAAGAAGAATTAGCCATTTGCCCTAATTAAAATGACAGCCATTATGAATAGTGACCTTGGCGTACCAGGGGAGTGAGATGAATGGCCTTCCGGAGGTACAGCCAAGTCCATTTTTGTTTCTGCCTGGCTTTGTCAGCCTCCACAAAGGTGTTACTTAGTGTTGTTGAGTAACAGTTACCGAGGGAACTGAGAGAAAGAACAGTGAGCAGCCCAGATCTGAGACATTCCTGTAAATGACACACCTTGCTTTCCAAGCCGGGCTACGAACTCTGAGGCCTTCCCAGCATTTGACTATACTTCACACAGAACAAATTAAACATCTAGCTATTTGAACCGGCGTAACCACGTGAATGTTTGGGCGTCTGTGTGCATTTGAACTGTGTGAAGATATTAGGGGCACCTGCGAATTCTCTCTCTGCCATTCCTTCCTTGGCTTTGCCTGTTTGTCATCTAAGGTGGCTAGATTTTTCTCTGAGTTTGCCCTTCCCACGTTCCTCCAAACTGGCTCTTTCTGCACCCTCTCCGTTGAAAAGCGATCTTTGCTAGGTGGTGAGCGAGTCTGGGGAGTACTCACTGGAACAGTGCTGCAGATAATTAGCAGATTGTGTTATTTCTTGAGAGTGACGGTTTCTTGGCACCCGGTTCCTACTTAAACAGGCTGGAGTATTAAGTTCTCAGCATATCTCTCTGTTGTCTTGGCTTGAGTTCGATCCATTTTCTATGGGCTGTTCGTGACTTGGAGAACTCAAGGTAATCAAAGCCATGCCAGCTTGGGGCGTGAACGGAACACTTCCCACCACAGTGTTGAAAGGGAGAGTAAAACCCCAGAGATAAGACAGCATCAGGTCATGCACCCCCTCCTATGGGGGACACACGGCTTCTCCCCTGGAAGCTTGTCTGTGCTGGATGCTCACACGGTCACTCCACGTGGTCTCCTTGGGCCGTCCTTAAGCTAAAGGCTCGGGCTCTTATTTGTAGTTTTCATGGGAACCTGCGGCAGGAAATGTATCGCTAAGACTTTATCAGACTCAGATCACTCGTGGTGCCTAGATATTTGACTTGATGAAACTTGAGTATGGCCCTGGCTCCCAGGGCCAGACCTGTACCTTCTTGAACTTGCCTTCTGAGCCGGGCAGACCCAGGTTATGAGTTTTCCTTTGGACAAGCTGGTCCTTTCTCTAAGACTTCTGCTTTTCTAGACTGTAAGCTCTTTGTGGGCAGGGACTATATCTTATCAATATTTTTTTCCCGTACCTAGCATGAGATATTAATATTTTTGAGTTAATAAATGAATGTCTTCTGGAAGACTCCTCGAATCGGGAGGTCATATCCAGAATTGGGATGTGAATCATTTCTTCACCGGAATAAAAGCACAACGGCCATAACTTCAAGGACATGTTATCTACTAGAGGAACGTTTTATTGTGAGACCCCTTACTTCGCCTTCTTACCTGCGCTGAAACGCAACCACAATAGGCCGTTCGCTTCCGCGAGTCTTGTGTTGGACGAGAATTCTGTTGCTTTATTAGGAACTGTGAGATTTACCTGGTATAAGAAACCAGGCATGAACCTTTGCCCTGTTTTAACCAATGAAGATTATGAATGTGTTTATATGATGTAAATTGCTATTTAAGTGTAAAGCAGTTCTAAGTTTTAGTATTTTGGGATTGGTTTATATATATATATTTTTTTCTTTTTTGAAAACTACAGAGGGGTATTTTGATAAGGTGAGTCGTGCATGTTAGATTTTAGTTTCACAAGTGTGTTGTTTTTCAAATGTATAAAATATAGGAAAAGGTAAAATAGTAAGAGGGAAAGCAATTATATTATTATTCTGTAGTTAAAAGAAAAAGCATTTGTCGAGTACCCACTCTACGCACTGCATGAAACCAAGTATGCAGGAGCCTATTTAACTGTATGGGGTGTAAGGAGACTCCATAGGAACCTAATGGATGAGCACTTACTGTGTGAGAGAAAGAAGCAGAGCAGTCACAGCGTCAGAGCTGATTAACCTCAGCGCTGGTTCTCAGGATCCCATTTCTGCAATAAGAGGTAGAGAATTTAATAAAAACCTATTGAAATGATGCCTTATGAACCCCTGAAGCGTATAAGCTGTCACAAGTTTAGCTACATTTGGATTAATCTTTTCGTAGCTACCTGCGTAATTTCTTCCTTTTCTTCCCATCTGGTTTCTGGGTAGACAATTTGTAGGAAACGACCCTACTGCAGCTATTTTTTAAAAAAATCAGAAATCTTGCCCTTTTAAACAATGTTAAATTCAAATTGAGTATTTCTCTTTTAGGAAAGAATTCTATTTTTCAAACTATGTTTTGTTGTTGTTTGTTTGATGGGTCCCAGAAAACACTAATAAAAACCACGTAGACCATCTTGTAACTGTGTGTTTCGTGCTTCAACAAGCCACCTGCAGCTGGGCTCAGAGGGAACGCACTTAGTCTCTAGCGACGAAACCTGTGCAGTTCCTGCATTTATTTATTTAATAAGCATTTGCTGAGCATTGCTCTGTGCCAGGCACTTTCCTAGACCCTGAGTTACGGCAAGAGAGTGAGGGACAAACAACTCTGCTCTCATGAAGTTTATGTTCTATCGAATGGAAACAGACAAGAAATGAAACACTAACAAATGATTAAAACGGAGCTTGTCAGATGTGTAGTCAAGTAACAAAGAGCAAGGAAGAGGAGAGTGCTGGACCATGGAGGGATATATTGCAAGTTTAGGCAGGGTTAAGAACAAAAATTCCAATAAAGATCTGAAGGATATAAAGGAAGGAGTCTTGAAGATAATTGGGGGAATGATTCCTTATTGGAGGGACCAGCAACTGCAAAGGTCCTGAGGTGAGTGCATTTTTAACATGTCCAAGGAACAGCAAGAAAATCTGTTTGCCAGAGTAGATTAAGCAATAGTAGGAAATAGTGTAAAAGAGGCACCAGCAGGCCAGGTCATGTAGAACTTGGAGGCCATTCATAAGGG